GTAAATATACAAACATGTAATAAATTAACATAATTATGTAAATGCAACTATTTTTATATCAACTTCGAAAAGGAAGCAAGGTTATCCATATCTATGTTCGACATGTGTATTTTTTTTGTGATATTTAATCCTGTATAATAGAAGTTCTGGTTGTTACGCTTATTACTTTGACGTGAATATAAAGAACTCGTAATTGCTGTAAAATGAAACGAAACTTAGAAAGCATAAGTACACAAATACGTAACTTTTAATTGAAAGTCATTTAGCGTAACTAAAGTTTGAAATTAAAAGTGTCTCTATCATTTTTTATTTTTAATCAGAAATAATTTGAGGCCTGTAATATCCATCGAAATAAGAAAGGAAAACCTTAATAAGCACATGTTCTTAAAACCTATTCTTATCGGGATATGAATAGATTTTCTTTGTTACTTTTACAACAGATATTCTGTGTGATTTCCTTTCACTTCGATCCGGGTTTCAACTCCTCGATGCAAAGAAATATGTATGTAGGTCTTCTGAAAATTCCTATTTTCGTTTATATCCCGAGACCACGACAGATCTCGTGAAGTTCTTTTACTAAATCTTGCAACTGATCAGTCGAAATTGGAATCTGTAAACTGCCGTGAACAGAAAAACAAACTTCCACGTTTTATTTACTTTTCACGAACAAAATAATAAATAAAAATGCATCGTCTTCTTGGTAGATGTAGAGATGAAGGAAGAAACGGATAAAATAATCAAAATATTTAAAGGTATATGAAATAACTGAAATTCAAGAAATAATATACGTAGAATGACCAAAGTGAAAAACGATATTGTAAAACTAATATAAAAAACTAATGGACATGAAAGCGTCGTCTCAGGGCAACTAAACGAATAATCAAGTCGAAACTATCTTTTCTCCTAGCAATGGCCGAGGAGACAGGATCGAGTCGGTCGAACCTACAAACTCGAAGGAAAGTTAATATCTATGGACTTGAAGACTGATATAGTTGCGACTGGCGAGTAGCATCGATCTAGCAAGTCTCTTTCACTCGGAGTGCAATAACTCGAAACGTTAATCGAGTTTAACTGGAGTCGACGGGCGAACGAGAAAACGTTTACCTTGGCTGATTCGACGGGTAAGAAAATAAAAAGAGAAAACCAGAAAAAATGTAAAGAAATAAGAAGGAATGAAGCGAAAGAAAAAGAAATTGCTTCGTGCTTTTATTTTCGAATTGAAAAGTCCGTTCTCATATACAAATTTTTTCTCGTTTCACGTTTTTACGTGTTAATTAAGGAATCTGAAAATAAAGAACTTACCAAATAGGAAAATAATTCTACAAGGTTTAACAATTGCAAACGGCAATTTTGTAATTGCACATTAAATTTGATCTATCGATCTAACAGCATCATAATATATTATTTATCTGCAATTCTGTGATTAAAATACAAAATCATTTGTATACGCGTGTACATACATAAAATATGCAAAAAATATATGATAAATCACATTTCTCATCTTGTATAAAAAAGCAATTTTTAATTCAATACGTTAGCTACTCAATATGCGTGTTTGTCAACTTTTTGAACATTTAGAAAGTATTAATAATACTAGCAGGCTAATGTAAATGAAAAGAAACTAACATAACTAACATTATTCGTTTCTTATAAAACATCATAGGTTTATCATCTACTTCCAAAATTTAAAGTTCATACCTCCAAGTCCATCAAGTTATTTTTATCTCTCGCTATTTCATATTAATATATGTACTTCTTTATGGTCACCAAATTTAGTAAAAGGCAGAAGATTGAAAAAAGTGGACCTATCGTATTTTTCTATATTATATTCATATATCTTATAAAGAATAAGCACCGAATATTTGTTATTATTAATAGTGTATATATACTATAATCATGCTGTATGTAATCATACTAAAAATTGGTTGTCTCGAGGAAAACTGTGTGAATCAGTAAATTAATCAATATCACTAAGTAAATTAAGTTAATTAGTAAAATGAAAAAGATCTGTGATGAATCAGTAAAACACGACCGTCAGACGATAAGTATGACTTATGTTATCTTTTGGCACTAGGCTTGCGCATCCTAGGTGCTAATATCTACTCATCGTAGAACTGACTCATGAATTTTATCTAATAATGTTTCGAGAAAGCGTTGAACCTGATCGAAACATGGTCAAGGCACCGTAAACTAACTGAAGTCTTTGCTTTCTCAGCGAGGCGTAAACTTGAAAAGTGTGCTGCCCACTTTTCGTCCATGGACGACGAGGCCGAGAGTGCATACGTTAATCTATAAGAAACCGGTACGATTTAGTTGACGTGAGATTAAAGCCATCAACTGTAGGTCGTCATTCCAGATAGGCAAAGAAATGTTAAGTACAGGAAACTCGACTTGTCACATGCCACTATTAAATCTTAATTGCACATGTGCGAATTTTTGACATATTTTAAAAACATTTCAAGCATATTTCAACCCATGGAAGGTAGATTTAACGATATCCTCGATTACTATTTAATATTTTATGTTCCATTTATGAATACTACAAATATCGTATTTAAAGGAAATAATACATTGCTAAGAAATTGTTATGTATTTTTAAAATAAAACAAAATGCTCTGCGAAAGCACTGTATCAAAAGAACTAAAGAAAATGGATCGGTAATGTAATATTATAAAAAGATATAATGTTTTTTAAATTTTTTAAGCTGAGACAGACATCTAAAATAGCTGCAAGGAATAATGATTTATAGTAATGACTATCACATGATTCAGAAAAATTTCAATAATGCTGTCAGACAACGTTATACAACCAAAAGTACATTTTCTAATTTGTTTGTTGCATGTACGACTCGCGAATTCCACGACAATTGTTCTTCCTATTATGTATTAAAATACAATCTTACAATACCTGACTATATGTGTCACACGTTATATTTTATAAAATCCGGTTCTGCTAGAAATATGTTAAAATTAATTTTCTTAATACACAAACCACCCTATAACCTATATTTCTTCCCCCGTACGTAAAAGACTTTATCAGAAATACATACAAATACGTATTACGTAAAAATAAGCTAAACAATATATTAAAGGTGAAATGGCTTCTCGAACGGTAGAAAACTCGGTTGAACACTAACGGTTAATGGAATTCGTAGAAAAGTTAATTGTAAATTAATACGAAACATGTCGGTCGCCTTATGACAGCTCGAGCAACATGGTCACGTGATGTTATACACATGTGACAGGCCGATCATCTACGGATGTACGTTACTACACACATAAGACGTATCATTAGATACTAATCGATGGGAATCAGTTCGGTGGGAAGAACGGAACGACGCGTTTCGTCGTGCTGCATCATTTCCCGACGCGTAAGGAAATGCTCGATGCAATGAGGAAGCATCGAAAGAAATGAAATACGTCCTCCGTTCTGCTGTCGCATTTTCACGTGCGCTGCGATAGCGTCCACGATGCGACTTCGAAAGCTGGCGACAAACGCGCCCGACCGACAGAGACAAAAAATCTTTTCCTCGTACGTGCAACGAATGTACAACACCCACGAATATTTCTACGCGGCAGAAATGCACAATTAATTGAACGAACTGTACATGCTTCTAAAGATTGTAGTTTCTGAGACAAAAGAAATCTAGTAGATTTTCGAAAAATTTCGTGTTGGTCGAGATCTAACAATTCAAGTTATCGAGCTTAAACAGGATAGAGATGCTAGTCATGTGATATTAGATGTAGGTTGTTGACAACGAAAGAGAAAGCAACTGGGTAAATAGGAAATACGAAATACGACACAAACATGGAATATCTTTGTAATTGTTGGAAATGTTAATTAGAAAAAGCGGAAACCTATTTCAATTTTAAATTCAAATTCGATTACTAAAAATTCTTACTTTCGATTTTCACAGGTTGTATTATGTATTTGATATAGAATAGCTAAACTGCGATGTTTATTTATATAATTGAAATAAAACCTAAGCAGAGATTTGTGTTATCCATTAAATATTAGGATAAATATTATACTTTTCATGTTTTCTATATTTTTACATATTATATGCGTTTGTTCATTTTTAAATTTCCCATAAATGTATAAATATCCATACTTTAACATTTACACAGATAACATAACGATGATGCAATTATGATTTATACATGTATACCGGAAATAAAATGAACTAATTAATTGCGATTTCAGGTAATTCGACTTATGTACTAAATTAATGAGGGCATCCTCTCAATGATACCTAAAGTTGTGGAATATTACCACAGATCCTAATCTTGTCATTCTTTGAATAAAACATCACATTTAAAAATATGAAGAAAATAACACTATCTTTCCTCTGATTAATATTATTTTCCAAAATAACGCGATTTGTCAATCTTCCTTATACATGTATTTGTGTATGTATGTATGTATGTACACCTTATGTATGTATATATTTTCATAAGAATGAAAGGAAAGTATCTCCATGAACTGAGATTAATCGTCGAGGCCATCCTGTACTGAAAGATTAAAAACCACTAGGGTCCTATAACGTATCAGCTGATCAGGCCATATTCCATGATCGTTACTTGCAATTTCGATTAGGAGGGATATCTTGAACATACATACTATGCATATACATAGAAATCATGATAATTCATGACGAAAGAAAACGTCGAACTGTAAACAAGGACGACGTGCACTCGTGTGCGTATCAATGAAGTACGTAAGTACACGTATATCACGCAGGTGTAACACGTCGCCCGAAGCACTTCGGGATGTCGTGCGAATTTTCACGAAACAGGTGGCAACAGCGCGCAGGTCCAACATACAGAAAGACAGGAACGAGGAACAAAAAAAAAAAAAAGAACGAGCGCACGCGTTCGATCAAATAACCAGTACGATAAGGAACGATACAAAGAAAAAAAGAAAAGGCACGTTTAAAAGAGAGAAATAATAAAAGTAAAGATGAGCAAAGAGAACGAAAAGAGAGAAGAAAAGAAACTCACCTTAGGCCTGTAGAACCATTTTCTGATCGACTCCATCGTAGGGCTGTCGAGGATGTCGGCAGGCTCACGGGCGAGTCGTCACTGCGCCTCTTGCGGCCAAAGCACTTGCGTCATAGCGAAACGTGCCACTACAATCTTACCAGAAAGCGTCACACCACGAGACACCAGCCAACCGCATACGAATTCGAGTTCTTTCGTCAAGTACCACCATCAAACATACGACCATCGACGAATTCGGTCGAACTACACATCCGAAACTAAACGTCAAACGTGAATCGCGCGTCCGTAAGACTAACTGACTGATGAGCACAGACTGCAAAGGCGCAGCTTGCTGTTGCGCATGCGCTCGTTGAACATCATGGACGATGTGACGTCATGATTTTCGACAGAATTGCCATCTACGCGTTATATTTGAATTCATTGTTTGAATTAAATAAACGACGATTAAAGTTAAACGACTTTTTTAAATTAAAAAGATTAAAATACATATTATTATGATTTCGTGGCAGAGTTTAGTATTTTAATTCGTTTATAAATGCAAATATTGATTTACGTTATTATTTAATCATCTATGTTATAAAACTATTCTATCTTAAATATTGAAATTAATTAAACATTCTTCTGAAAAATTTTCTGAATCAGTTAAAATTGAATTTATTTTAGTGACAAATTTAATATGGGAACGTTGTGTAAACAGTCAAATATATTAAATATATATAATAGAATTTTTGTATGTTTACCTTAATGTTTAAATCGTATATGATTATATCGTTTAAATATTTCACGAAAAAGATATTTTTTTCTCCTTAGGTTTTAAATTATAAGAATAAAATAATCTGTATATGAGAGAATGTATGTAGATATTTCATATAATAATTGGGTTGTAAAATAAAATTACCAGCGATACACAGAAGGAATTTAATAATATTATCTTGAAATTTAACATATTTTGATCTACGTGACTAGATTATAAAAAAAGCAATTAAAAATGTATGACTTTAACAATGTTAAATATTATGGATCACAAATTATGCACATATACATACGTAAGTTTCACAATTTAAGTATACATTTGGATTTAAAATTACAAATTAAGTTCCAACAAATTTACTTAATACTAAAAAAATGTCTATATATATATATATATATATATATGTAAGCCTCGAATTAATAAAATAATAAAAATATCGCGGGGAGCTCTACTATACAAGTATATGGATTACATAATCTATAACTTAAAACGAATTGCAATATAATGTTATACAAATTCCTTCGATTATGTTAACAAATTAACGTCAATACAGAAAACATAATTCTATCGAAAAAATAATAGAAACTTATGCTATCTTTTTACTTCTTGAGATTCATATACACGTGTAAAGAAGTGGAATGTAGATTTCTACCACGATAAGTAGTAAATTCTTCTTGAACACTTACAAATGAATTTAAATGTAAATAAATTTCAAATACATTCGAACAGATTCTTTTCCCATAAGTTGATAGGCTTAAATCTTACTAGAGTAGAAATAGAACACACCTTGTGCTTATATTCTCAAGAAGTAACATATAGTGTTAATTTCATTAGTTTGCTTAAAACTTTTTGAAAATAATATATCGAAGATATTTAACGCTATATTCTCTACATCCTACAATAACTAAGTTGTAACTAGATTTAAAAGTTTTATTTTCAAACATTTCATAATAGGATTATTAACCAAGATGCGAGTCATTATAACTAACAAAAATATATTATGAATTCTTTTTTTTTTCTTTTTTATTACAAGGCAAGAATTTCAATTTTGGGAATAAAAACTTTGAGGTAATTAAATACCACCAAACATCATTGATACACATACATGAAACAGTGCTTTAGCTCAAAAAGTTATAAGCAAAATGCTTCTTGTAAGCATACATACTCTATGTTCGACTTTTGTGCAATAACACTTTTCCCATGACTGCCAAGGCAGCCCTCACAATTTCGATTATACGTTCTGTATATTTTTCTCAAAAACTGTAAGTAAATAATTGTAGTAAATACTGGTTACGTAACTACAGAAACATCTATTGTTCGATACAAGCATCACTTTACATTTGCTTGAAAAAATGCAAGACTTTCTACTACGCGGGTAGTAATATCAACTCTTTTTTCTCTGTTTTAAATGCAATGTACTACCACGTTTCACTTACGATCTATGCAAACTCACTACTTATCTAAGACATCTATATCACTTGAAATGAGAGTAGTTGAGTAACTTCTTGGTGTATTATATTACACAAATTCTTTTTCTTTCTTTTTGCTTTGTGTTAAATGTTCGAATCACGTAATTGATGAATTCCATTCGTTATAAACATTCAAGGTCATAATTAATACATCTGTAATTGATTGCCACACAATAGTTAAAATATTTCAAACAGTATGATCTAATATATATCACCTAAAATAAGAAACATCTAAGTGAATTATTCGTATTATTGCACAGTGAAATATATCTGGAAATATTTAAAGCGATAAATGAATATTGATAGGTTTTTTCTTATTAATTACAGATTTCAATAATTATATCATAGTATTTTAGGGATTGTATTTAATTTAAATCTTCTAAAATATAAGATACTGATTTTATCGTTCTTTTAATACTTAAACGATAATATTAAATTTTATAAAATACACAGGCTTTAATTAAAAACTTCATCAATAAAATATTGAACGTATGTATAGATATATTAAACAATTAGAATAAATTTTTTACTAAAATAAGGTTTCTCAAGTTTTTTTAGGCACAAAGTAGATACTTATCATAAATAAAATACCGAATGTATAATAGAGAGTTTCGATATTTGCTTTCATAAATACTCTAAAAGTCAGACTAATTATATCGTATAATTAAGATAAATTGTTTAATCAAACGTGTAATTTCCAAAGTTATAAAAATGTTCAATATTATATTCAAAATCATTTCGTAACGATCGAACATAATATCATTTAACAAGACTTACGGGATATAAAAACATCAACGTGTGAAAATTCTGTGAAATTCCTTATATAAATTCCATTGGCGAAAAGTTTTACAGAGAAAAGTCCTTAAAAATTCTGTAAATCACATACAGTTTTGTTTTGTACCAATATTACTTCTACAATGCAGCTCAATACAGATTAATATAACGATATAGAACCACCAGCGAAAACATTAATGTGATTGAATCGATACTATTGTAATAATAATGCTACTGGAGAAACATAGTAAGTATTTTCTGCATTGTAAGATAAAAACTTGACTTTTTGACGTAACTGTAATACCATCAATTCAATTCCTACTTAACCAGAAAGATCGACCACATCTCCAGTTAGCATTCAATATCAAATTGCTTGAAAAATAATGTTAGCATTAATTAATGTATTCAATATTTAAAATGCGTGGCATGAAAAATAAGGACGTGAGAAAGAAATATCTATTTCCTAATATAAATGCCGGTTATCCGCTGGCATTGTCACAAGAGAGACTATAACAATCAAATTTAGCAACGACTAATTTAAGACTTAAGTTTAAGGCAAAACAGTGCAATAAACTCCATACTATTTATACATAACTTCAGTGACCAATAGACCACAACATCGTGGAAAAACGGTTAAAGAACGGTAGGTTTGTGTGATGATAAACTCGTTGTAAATTCAATAGTGCTAACATACGACAATAAACTGATTTACTAAAAACAAAATTATTTAAACAAGCAGAAAGCTACGTATGTGGCTACACGTATGAAAATAATTCTCTACTGTCATACAATCAACTTCTACCATCTACGATGGTATACACAAATTTTGACAAAAACATATCGATGAAAACAGAATCTCACATCAAAGGGTTTCAATGACGATCTAAAGGTGCGACACAAATGCACAACAAGTTATATAGGTAAGTAGATGGCACATATGCTTGTGAAATAAGAAAAAGAAAAGGAAGATAAATTAACAGGCTATTCGCTGTAGCATTAGTAACTGGATAAAAAGCAGGAAAAATGTACTCTCTTACATACGTGCTGTTTTTTTAGCCAACTTAAATGCAAAGGTTGCCGTGAGTCGTGAAAGGATAAATCGTTGGCAAGATGAAAAACTCTTATTTTCGTTGACTTGAATGCGTGTTACTGAGATTGGAGAATCGATTGTCCTTTTCCTAAACACGTTGCTTAACTAAATCCAAACTGCACTTTTCGGCACTGACAGAGCCATTTAATGATTCGAGCGTTACGTTCGACGATGCTCGGTGGATCGTTAACCCTCTGGTTGGAATCGTCGTTACCCATACCGACACTGCAATCATTGTTCTGCCATTGACTACTCTGATTCGTTTGGTTGTTCCCAGCCCACGAGTAAAGACCTAACGCTGAATCGACCGAGCTAACGCTATCAAAAAATACAGGAGACGACGACTTTGAATCTGGTTTCGTGATACGTTGATAATTTTCCGAATCGAGACCTAAACAGTCAAAGAAGTTCTCGAGTTGGGTGATCGACCGAGGAGGCCGTGCAGGTACTTTATTGGATCGACCATTATCCTGACGCCAATAACGATCGCTAATGTCCGATTTCGATCTCAGAATTGGTCGGCCGCGACCTTCTTTCCAGCCGTCGGAAAACCTGAGGCAGAGATACAAACTTTTATTATTATGTACTTTGACTAACAAAAAGGGAATATTAAAAATATCTTGTATGAAAAACACTGAACACTTAATTCTTTAAATATTTAAATCTTCTCGTATTTCTGTTTTCACACAGCATACCTTTGATATCTTCAATATCCTTTGAGTGCTCGAATTTGTCCAATTTTAAGAACGTACCTTGAGTTGCATGTCGGACTATAATCCGTTTGACTGTTGCTGCTCTCAGAATCAGGACTGTATCGCCTTACGACAGATGGTGGGGTACCGTTAGCGTAACTACCTCTTCTTGAACGATCTTTTTCCGTCGAGTGTTGAGTAGATGCACCGCTGTCACGACGTATATGACTCCAGCAATCCTGAAGCAAAATATTTCACTCCATGAATAGCGGTTTCCATTTAACGTTACGAGACATCTTTAACTTTCAACTAAACCTGTATTACTGGCGGAGGTTCGCTACGAGGTGTACAATGTCCGGACGATCCTCCGGAGTCTCTTGCAGTCGCTCCATGACTTAGCTTGCTGGAACCTGATGACTTTTGCGTTCGACCACCGGCAGATAATACGCTACTCGCATCACCACCACCTGAACCTAACGAACGTCTGATGTGTCTAGAACTGGAATAGTAATAACTTACATGAGAGTAATAATTTTATGTTTCACAAATGTGAGGCGCACTATGCGAAATTTTTTATTACTTACAATTTTTGTTCTCAAGTTTTAAAAATATTTAAAAATTAAATGAAACTAATTCTGATATTATCTTTAATTTTCAGTCGAAAGAAATAAATTGTTCTTATAAAGATATTCAAATTACATAGTATTGTTAAAATAATAGGAACAAAATAATATGTAGTAGCACTATAAATAGCTATATTTTTTTAGAATATTATCAGAGCTTAAAAGTGCAACTAATCAAATCTCATAAATGCTTTTCAAAAGCACTTTGTAGACCCACTTTCGGAAGACCTAAACAACACTGTGCATAAGAAATTAAGTAGAAAAATGTTTCAAACAACCCGTGAATTCTATAATTATATTTATCGGAGTATACATGTGAAAATATTTTGAATACCTGCGATAACAGACTGCATCTCGTTTGAAACTGTGCTCTGAATAATCCGAACTAGTTTCACAATCTGGGCAATTGCTCGAAGATTGATGATGGCCGGATGGCTTAGATGATTTGGTCGATGCACGTGGCGACAGGGACGCCCGTCGTCGCGTGCTAGTATGGAGGTCAGGCAAAGATTTGTGACACACGGTGTTTTCCACCGACTGCGAGCTGGTGGACTTCCTCCCGGTTCTTCCGGATGTATGCGAATGTGAATTGCTGCGGCCAAACTTGAAACGAACATCTTGCGAGCAGTGCTATAAAAATGATAAAAATAGAATTTAATATGGGCTTATGGTATATAATTTCACCGGAAAAAAGTGTATGTACATGTATTTCTGAAACTTTTTGTTGACTGCATTATTTTGTAATTGTTGCTGGACAATTTTGGGTCATTCGATTTAATAGTGCAGATACAGTTCCTCCTGGTGCATGTTCTGTATATCAGATTGTTTCAATTTGGATGCATGATAAAATTCTATATAAATCAATTAAAATTACAATTAATACAAAACATACAGGGATTATCACAGATAATTGGCAAACATCGATTTATTCCTAATTTTTTAGAAGTCGTGTACGTAGTGTGAAATAGAGACATCGGTCAAGAAATAAAGCATATCTATATTATTATCTTCTTTTTAACTGCAACTTGTATTCCAAATATCTTAAAAGTATCTCATCTCCTGAAATTACGTGAAAAATTAAAGTCTAAAACTCTAATTATACGTATTGCTTGATCCCAAATTTTTAGAAGTTACATGTGTGGAAAATATTAATCAGAGAATTTAAAACCATAAGAGAAATCAATCAAAATGATCGATAGAAATCCCATACCAGTTTCCCAACAGTTTGATCATCCATGCTGTGCACGTGTTTAATAAAACAGTGGAGGAATATGTCTTCCGTGTTAAACTCGCGAACACGCGTATGTACAACGTCCGGTTCCTAACTCCGTTTCCTGTCTCCGACACTTCCATAATTACGATTCATCGCAAGGAAGCGTGCATACGTATTCGTGGATAAAACGTACGAAGGACAATAATATCACATATCGGCGATGAATTAACAAGTATTGCAAGACATTTAAGACAGTTACACTATCGTGAAAAATTATATCGCTTATCGTATATCTTTCTACTATCTTGTAAAGTAGCATAATTTTACGTCAGCAACGACGAATATGTTCATAAATTCAAAATCTTTCAACGATAGTGTACACGTGTACGTAAAACTATAGGATATAAATATACAATAAAATTATTGCAGTGCGTAAAATATTCGGAATAAATCACAGCGAAACATTTCAGATGGAAGTAAAGGTAAAAACTAAATCACGACTCACGTCGATCTTCGCTCGAACACGAACTATATGTATTACACCGAGCTAAAAATATATATGTAAATTATACAACTGCAAATAATTAGTAATTTTGTTTTACAAAAATGAGGACAGCTGAGAAACGAAGCAAATTATAAAAATTAATATACAGCGAGGTATATAACAAGGAACGCGTCTGCAATGAACTGATGCTACAACAAACAAAAATCTAGAATCAATTACGTGTGTAGTTCGTTTTGAGATACCTCACTGTATTTTCAAGATTTACTCAAAAGTATGAAGATTTTACCTTTATGCGGTCTTCCTCGCGAAGATTAGGTGACAGACTGCCAGGAGAATATCGGAATTTCTCCTCCTGTGGGATACCATTCGCCTGGATGATCGTCTGCGTTGGACTGTCAGGAAAGAATACGTTCTCCTTGCTATCGGTATTTAACAACCGACGTAATTTCGTCTGCAGCTGATCTCCGCCGGTGCTGCTCGGCGGCCCTGAAATCGTGCGCCGCTGCGGAACAGGAACCAGACGTGGACTCTTCGGTGGCAGTGCGGGTGGCAGTGTTTGTTGAGGACTCAGAATTCCGTCCGCTATTCGACAGAGACGAAATAAATTTTTACGCCACATAATTAATTTCGTCAACTGTTTCTGGGAAATTTTCAACTTTAAGCGAAAAACAGAAATTCTTTTGTATTTTTTTCTTACTCGTATATGTATAATTGAATGGCTAATGATAAATGTATTTCAATAAATATATTAATTTCAAAATATATCTCAATAAACATATTATGAATAAAAAAGGATAGTATCCCATTTAAAAAATTAACTCGACCTTCTATTATTCCACTTACAAAAAGAATAATTTCTTTTTAGGCTACATCGTATTCTCCTTCATTTATAAGAACATCTTTTTTATAATATCACTTTCTTCAGATATTTGATTAGCTAAAACAGACACACATTTTAACTTGTTGACAATTTTTGTAGATCTGTACACGCTTTTAGAAATATTCACGTCTAAGCATCTTTTAACACGATATTTCCTGCAACTTTCATCACGTGGAAATAATTCACATGAGAATGTGCAATCTTCTTTTTGGAGGGTTTCGCAATGAAATACGCTACCTGGACAGGATTGGTCTGTTGGAAGTAACGAGTTTGGACATAGCGATATCATGTGTCGCGTTGAAAGCAATCTACAAGAGGTAATCACTTAACGGCCAGATACAGAATGTATCCGTTGATTTTAGTAAGAAGAAATACAATGGCTCCACATCCATTTTTATGATTAATGTGCTTAGGATGGTTTTAAAATAGAAGCTGAATTATGAACGTAGGCAATAGAAATAGTTGAAGTTTTATGAAAGTTCTGTTAGTTTCATTGAAAATTCTGTAAACATTTATTTCGTGTTTGCTCCTTGATCGATAATTACAATTTTCTCGTGAGATCGTAATGAGATATATTTTGTAATTCTTTAACTCGACGCAGCGAGCACCTTACTTGTACACCTGCATTAAGCAAAACCGTTGACGGCAAACGACTCGTTCATTTTCCGGCGCGCGACCGAAACGGTAAAAGTATGCTGCTAAGAATACCACAACCTTCGGCCGCAAAGGATAAAGTAAAATCGCACGATTATTTAATCCACGAAAAGTGTCTAATGCCAGGTAATACTCCGGCTGTCGAACGCTAATTTGATGATCTTAAAATTATTTACATTTATAATATTTACAAATCTCTGTGAATAATTTTCATTTCTGTGAAAAACAAAGTATCTATTATTATCCACTATTATTTGTTTCTTAAATATTATTTTTATCGTCTATCTTCGAAAGGCTTTGATTATTTCATATCAAAATACGTAATTTCTTTTAGCTACCAGGTAACATAGTCAACACAAATTAAAAAAAAACGAACATATCACACTTTTCTCGATATTATAAGATAGCTTTCGAATATTTGGTGTCATTATCCAATTTAATTTTTGTAACTTTTGCGTATTCCACGCATTTTATGAATAGTACAAAAAAAAGAACATGCCTGGAGACAGACAAACGTGAGGAAAAAGTGAGGTGGAGAGCAAAGTTAAGAACAGAGGATTAAAAGACAACAGGGAATTAGCTGTAAAGGAAATCAGTAGCAACGAAACGAACAAGTAAAAATCTCGAGAAACGATTACGGAAGCATCTACAGGTATCCCCATAAACACGATAGCCAAACTCGTTACCGATTCCCATTCAGCTACAGTATAACATCCATGAGAAAAGATCGAAGAAAGCTTTCGAAAGTGCTCGGACAACCACTTACAGCAATCTCGTCGATGGCATGTTGCCCGGCAATGAAACGAGGAAGCGTATATGTAATACCGACACATAGGTACACATATATGTGTCTGTAGTTGCGTACAACTGTTAACAGCCATGCGCGTTAAATCGATTACGTGGTCAAAAAGGTGTATACGTATACATCGAAAGGTGTATATAGTGTATAGCATCGAACTTTTCCAAGAGACTTACGCCTGTCCTGTTCGTGGCACGATGCCCAGCAACAAGGTGGCGTCATCGGGGCAGGTGGCAGCTGCGACGGCGACGTCGGTTGCATCGAACAGGTCGACGTGTTCCCGCATTTCCTCAGCAGCCTTGGAGGCGCGCTCGGAGCGCTCAGCTGCGAGACCTGAAGATGACCACTGTTCTTCAGCTCTTGCTTCCGGTCCAGCACGGTCTCGCTCTTCACGTAGAACGCCTTCGTCTCCTGGAGCAGTTCCACCGCGCTCTTCCGCTTCCCTGTAGCACGTGACGAGGAAACCAGACGGCTGTAAGTGACACTCGAGTAAAAACGGTAAATAGCTCGCTTCCTGTAAACGGATACCGTCCAACCAGATACCCGCCCGACAGGGTTGAGCCACGTGCGCCGGCACGAGTCTCTTTCTAACTACGCCGGACCTTTGTCCCTGCTTACAATTACAGCAAATCGCTGGTTCCGACAGGGAACAGTGAGGAATCTTTGGTGTTCGAGGGAGTATTTCCAGTGGAAAATTACGTTTCGGTTCTTTAGTATAGGACTTTTTTCGCGATTGGTCAGGATGTTGCGGGAAGTTTAATACAACAGGATATATAGGGTTATTGTTAAGGATACATTTGTACTTTTGGAGACTCTGGGCACAACATCGTCACAAAGTGTAATTATGTTTTGAAGTTATGTTGTAAAACGAGGCTCCATAGAGAACGAAGCCCCAGCTTGCGCATTGATAATTGCAGCCTCCGATTATTTTACGTGTAATACGTAGAATAAAATCTGTTCATTTGAAGCTTCGTTTTCGAGAACATCGAGTTTAAATGTACATATATTTAATAAAAAATTAATTCAGCATACGAACTCGATTTTCCTCGACTTGTTTTCGTACGTAGAATTGACGAGTTAGATATTTTAATTCTTTTAAGGCATTCTGGCTCCTAAATTAGTGACTCAAAGGGAAACTAAAAGTTAACATGAAACTGTATCATCGATAAATCAAAGTCTTCGTCAGAAATATGATCCGATGTCATAAAACACCGTGGAAATTCCTGCGTAATGATCTTCTAATGCGATTGAAAATTAATTCTAATAACGAAAGTATTCTAACGATGTCGGAAGCGATTAGTAACGGAATGAGTTCACTTTGCGTGCTATAGAGAAAATTTTATTGGTGGTTCAATAACTGTAAATTCGAATTCTCCATTCCCTTTTCTCGACTCGTCAGGTAAAAATGGCTATTAGTAGTAAGAGGATTAGTGGTTCGGATAATGGTTGGTAATGATGCATGTACTACTTGATACTGCTTAGTAAATTGCCAATCTTTTTTGTATAACGGTCACTATACAGGAAATATTTTTGAGCCCATACGTACATATTAATCTCCATAGTAGAATCTCCATAGTAAACTGAAATATTCAGCAAATTTTCTATCGCAAATAATAATATTCTAAATAAACACGAATAATTCATATACCATTCTATAACTATTTAATAGCTGTTTAATTATTATTTAATGGTTAGTAGTCGTTTAATGATTACATTTAATAATAATATATTTAATGATTAAAACATTGTTATTCGCAGAAACTCGAGAATAAAACTTTTAATAATTAAGCAGACGAGCTAATTATTAATTTTAATCTCTGAATGAATATTATATATTTCAACGTTTAGTAATTTGTTAAATAGTGGACTATTTTCAATAGTTGACAAATTTAGTAATTATAACTGTGTTTATTTTTTCTTAAACCGGTTTCGCAAATATTCGCAAGGGAAATGACTCTTGAACAATGTACGATGAGTACACGCAATTCCAGTCTAATTAGCCAGTTTTAGGGGCAATTTATCGTAAGAAAAGCATCATTAGTGAAAATAATGAAGACAAAATCTGAAATACAGAATTAACGCATTAACAGAAATATAACATTAAAGTCCTTCTACTAATTCTATTAATTATTTTAAATTCTGCAAGATTATTTCAACCAAATTATTGACCTGTATCCATATAGTGTTCGTAAAAATTTGCATTTATATAAAATATATTTTATTCCAATCCGTGATATCTTTTAGAGAAAAAGTTTTTACAAATTCAATTTTTTTCAAACTTACGAAAATGTCTTCATCTAGAAATTATTATTTGAACCTGCGGTATTCGATTTTTTTGTATCTCAATATCTCTTTAATTTCAACGGAGAAAAGACTTTTGATATTTTAAGGAGATCATTATCACATAACCGAAACGAAAAATCACGTATATCAATAAAGATTCTGTAATATTTTCTTCGAATTTAAGAAATTTTTTTAACGATGTAAAACTACGGTTTGATCGAAAATAACCCAACGGATATAAATAAAAACTTGTATGAAATCATGATTTATGCTCTAGCATATAATTTGTAAATCATATTTTTCTGCAGAAATCATGGTAGCATTCATCCTTCATCAGAACGTATAATATTCAGCTGTACAAGGAAACGCTACACACATTGACCTGCCTATCCATAGACGTCGACTTATATATGTATACATATATATGTATAATATTTTTAATTATTTTCAACGAACCGCATATCCTGAGCTCATAACGTTTTGATATTATACGTTACAGACGAAAAACTTTGCACGCGTCATTGAGAAATTTTAAAAATAACACACCTAAGTTATCTTTTTGACGAGGAGTGTACTTATATATATATCTCAACAGATACATAAAGCAAAGAGTATGTTAAATGATTCGTACAATAAAAGAGATATCCAATGATTACATTTAAAATGTCTACTTAAGATGAAAAATTTATAATAGCTAGTAACTAACTTATTCATAAAGAAACGAAAAGTGAATTAGTTATACGATTATTCGTATTCTATTTTCTTTTTAAAGGTTTCTCAAGAATGTGAAATATGCATGGAAGCTATCTGTAACCAGGTACACCCGTCTTTTTCACCTGCAATGTGATATTGCAAATATTCCTTCAGCGCTTATGCGTTTTCTCGAAGGTATATCACAACTATGTGAAAAAAAATATACTTGAGGTATTGACACATTTTATTAATATTATATAACAACGGTAACCTCGAGTATTATGAAATTACAAGCAGTAAAAAGATATCCTATAATTTAAGGTACTAAATTAATAAACAATTTAAGTTATCGTTTGCCAAGTTATAATTTAAGTTTATCGTTTGCTATGAATAATGTAATAATATTTACACTATATATATTCTCATTGTTATGATATAACAATATTATACAAATAGCGAGAATCTATGTAATAGTACGAGTATATACTAAACTGAAGGTGATGCAACGTGAATTACTAAAGTTAACATTATATAACAAACCACAAGCGTAAATTCAACGTACAAGCGTCGACTGAAATCGTGGAGAGAGGAAGCATTTCACCTGTGAATCGAACTGTAATACCTATTTCAAAAACCTCGCAAAATATTATGAATGTAGGCAGCGTTGTCAATAGTTTCACTTTAACATAATTTCCGAATAGCCACAAGCACATCCTATTGTGGTAACGACCCACCGCAAACAATGAAAAAAAAATACAGTCGAGTCAGTAGTTTGGGAAATGGAACGAATAAAAATCGTGAAATTTATGCTAATCGTTCACCACGTAAAAAATAAAGACACGTGACAAGTAAATAACGTGTATATATATATATAAAAATAAGTACACTTTTTTTAGCATAAAATGGTAATACTGTTTACAGAACAACTGTAGTTTTTATTTTATTTGCACTTTATTTTATTCTGAAAATATATTGAAAAAATATTCATTAATTCACAGAATTAATACAAAATACTGATTTTTCGATATTTTATTTTTGAAACACTACCTCCGAGGAAATGACAAAAATCGTATATTTCTATTCGAAGAAATTTTTATTTCTATGTTTGCATGCATACGAGGGATTCGGTAGGAAAGGGGTACAAGATGGATTTTTTCTAAAGACGAGATAAATAGAGGAAAGGATATATTAAAACGTAGATCCTAGAGGACTTTATCTTCAATTTCCACGTCTTTATGAGTGCCTATGAAAACACGTTTTAACGTTGAAAAACAGATTTTTCTATTAGAGTTTAATTTTACCTACACTTTTCCACTTCTCTTTCATATTTTCTAACCCGGCTACGATCTTGAAATTTTGATATCTCAACTTTGTTCTCATTACAGCAAAGGAACAGAAACATTTCTATTTTAATTTTCATTCGAATTTCAGATATTTTTCAAGCTTGGAAAGATACAAAGGGGTAGGAATTGACCGAAACAACGCAGCAAGATTAAATTAGTGATTTTATCAGTTATACTACTTTCTTTCTTCACTCTTTAAATAACATACACTGTACAGGCTATACAATGATTTAGCGTTTCACTTAGTATTCCAATTGTTGCAGGTTCCTGATTTTAACATACATACGTAAACAATTTAAAAAGTGATGGCTGCACGCATCGTTGCATTCGTCGATCGATCGTGCCACGAAAGGAAGACGTAAATGAAAGTGACGAAACGGGTCAGCAACGACATAATGGAGAACAGTAAATGGAATGGAGGATGCACTTTTTTCCGAGCAATGGGAAACGGTTCGCAGCGATATGTTCGTGTTGATGAACGATAACGACATGCAACTGAACCGGAAGCCAAGTAGACGCGCAAGCTTTCGTGCTGGTTAACAATATTTTCACCTAACGTGGTGACCACCTGAGAAAAAATGTTTCCACGCTGTGTGAATGAAAGTAACAAGATTAGATAGTCGACAGAAATAAACGAAGGACAAATTACGCATAAGAATCTTCTGCAGCTGCCATCGAAGAAGCTACGGTGTACTGTACCAGGACATTATAAATAATTCACGATGACACTCTAATTACGTTAGGAACTTTTATCAGTGGGAATCCATTTTTCTTTTCTTAGATGTTCTATCTAGCGGAGGTTACATAGTCCGTAAACTGAGAAAACTGAGTTTAAAGTTTATGGAGTATAATACTATCATAAGGAATCATGAGTTAAAAAAACTGAATATTTATTGCTTGCTAAGTAGAATTTCTATCACATTACCAATGAATTAGTGTTCTTTACTCCAATAAGAGATATGACGATATGGATAATTACATTTTTTTTTGGAAGCGAAGTTAAAGCAGCGAAGGACTAGGGCAACGAATTGTGAATATACGTGGTCCCTCATTTCAATTGTATTAAAATTTCTCTTGAAGCATTAACGATCTTTTTATCCAATTCTGTAAATATACTGAATATTGAATGCTTTGATATTTTCTACGCTCCCCATGGGTTGTACAGATTAACCCTTTTGCATCTATATCTCGCGATGTCGTTTATGCTTCGAGAGGCGTTTCTTTTCATTCACATACCAGACATTTCATCCGCGGATGTGAAAGGGTTAACGATCCTAAACTCATACCAGGACATCTCCTACGTTCAAAAATGTCTTGTTTCATTTTTCTTTAAACGTTGACGCGATATTTATGATGTATTAAGATAAATATAATTGCATTCCATAGAATAGATAACTGTTACTAATACGATAAAAAATGCTTAGTACAGAAGTTACTAAAATTCATAGCGCATCAATTTGAAAAATTCTTTCATTCGCCATATGTACATATAACTGTCATATTTTGACTTTTTCAATATAAGTTTTACATTTTAGTCAGGCCTGTCGTTAAATATTGAAAACCAGATACGCGTGTTATCTCGTCCCTGGAGTCATATGAACGATATTGCGTCGCGAGATACAGTGTCTGTGAATGTGAATAGGTCAAACAGCGAAAGGATTAACAGACCTACTGGCTGGTTCGATGTTTTTGCCGCGTTACGCCAATGCAGAGCGACAGTGGTGCACGTGTACGCACTTTACACGCGCGTTCGGGTTAAAGTGTCTCGTTGAAGAGGACGAGATGGCAAGCTCGAGCATTAAATGACGAGCAGTCCGACATCTGCGGCTTCTCCCGTTTTCGCGTGCCACGCACGCTGATGATTGATGACAAGCGTCTGACACGCCTTAGGGAGCTGATACTCTCGCCTCGAAACAATCAACGATTCGATCACGATAGCCAGGCAGAGTGAAATCGATTGGCCGAATTGTTGGCAATTTAAATTCAATGCACTTTAATGATATGGCACCCCCAATACAGATGCATCGATGGGAATTAATTAGTCGCAATCGAAATATAAATAGACGGCTATGTCTGTGACAAATCTGATTTTCTAATAGAACTCGTTACTTTTTGTTGTAACTTCTGTTTGAAATATATTATTAATCTTGGAAACGGTCTATGTTAATGTAACTCTTCCTTTGTAAAGTAATAAAATGATAAAATTTAATTTTTCCTATGAGTTGTATTCCTTAAATTAAAGCATCAACTGCATAATTATTAGCGATAGGAAATTATCTACTGTCATATCAATCGTCAACTATTTTGATGTCGTGGTATACATCATCAGAAGTATATGATTATTTTGTATTAAAAAAAGTTTTATCGTTTTATCTTACTTATGTAAAAATAGTTCTACTGTCGGTACTTTACACCGAATGACATCATTTACATTTCTCATTTCTCAAATATTCGTAGCTTCAAGCTCCAAGTGATTATTACAATATTAGAAAATTGTGAAATTCAGTTCTGACATAACAAAGATGACCGATTGACGACGATCATTTGTCGTCTGTTGCAAACAGGATACTACGTGCTTTCAGTGCAATGCATTTTATGGATAGAATCTAGCATAGCAACAGCGAGGTAAGAGCTTCATTTGTATCTTTATATGACAGATTACAACAAAACCTTATGCATACTACGTTTAGTTTGCAATGGAAATAACAATAGTTGTTGAACTTTTAAATTTAAATACTGCAATCTGGAATACTAGGAATATCTATCAAAAAATTTATTGGTGAACTAGAAACAGTAATTTTAATGAAATACATATTCAATTATACATTGTATCTTGCGCTATGGTCCATTTTATGTCACAGATAATGTCCCGTATCACACGATACGAAAGTGAATATTACAAAAATTAAAACATTTACATATTTTCAATTTTTGTAATATTCATTATATCGTATATATGCCTACATTCGTTTAAAACTGAGATCATTCGTCTACCGAAAAATTGTGTAGTCAACTGGATGAATTTCAAAATGCCAGCCCATTAATACCAGCAACTTCTTATGAAACACCATATATAATGGAACTTCCATGCGGAATCAAAAATGGCCCAACGGTCGCTAACCGCGACGAGACCGCATAATCTACCCTTCAAGGGTAAAAACCGTCCTCTCCACCAGTAGAACCCCTTAAACCGCGTTCTCATGCAAACCGCTGCGCCACGCAGAACACTCAACAAAATCGTGCACGCCATTTACGACCGGAATGGCGTTTTCACATTCTAAATACGTGACTTCTGCACATTTCGTCTAATGCCCTCTAACGTCGTCGCAGATTTTCTACATTCATTTGTCTTTTTACCGCACTCAACCCGTTTCGCACAAAGATTTCATTCTCAAATCTGCAACACATGACGAATATTCATTCTATTGCTTCGAAACGACACGGACAGCGTCATTCTGTGCAGAATGCTGGTCCATTGGCGTTTTTACAATGACGGTCCATCAGCCATTCCTATGCTCGATGACAATTCATCGGTCTTTTCAACGCGCGTCATTTTGGATGAAAATCGTGTTTCCAAGGCTACGATGTAAAATAAATGCTCGTGTCAGTGCTCTTAACAATGTGTTCATTTTTATGTAAATAACGAGAAGCAACAATTTATCGAGCTTTTCAATACATTCGTCAGCGTTTTATCAGTCTTCTCGATGGGTTTAACAATTTTTCAGTTGAAATTATTTTGGAATATACAGCGGGGACAAAAATAGTTGGATAACGAAAGTTTCGTTAAATACAGTCTGTTCATATAGAAACGTAAATATGAATTTCAATTATTTACTACATAATCTGTGTATTACGAGAATATACAGGGTGGTTGTTAACTGGTGGTACAAGCGGGAAGGGAGTGATTCTACGCGAAAAAAGAAGTCGAAAGTATAGAATAAAAATTTTTCGTTTGAGGTTTTGTTTTCGAGAAAATCGACTTTGAATTTTCGCTCGGTACGCGTGCACTTTATCACGTCTCGTTATAACGGAAAAAAAAATTTTATTCTATATTTTCGACTTCTTTTTTCGCGTAGAATCACCCCCTTTCCGCTTGTACCACCGGTTACCAACCACCCTGTATAATAAATAAAACTTAAGTATACAATATTAGTACTAGTAGCTCGATTAACTTAATTCCACTATATGTCCACTTATTTTTGTTCCCAATTGTATATATATAATATATACGATAAATATCTTTTTTAATGTTTTAAAAAATACGTGCGAAAATTATACGCACGATTGTCCGCATGTAACGATGATACACCATACAAAGAAATGTTTAAATGTTTCTAAGAATTTCAAACGCATTAGCTTATAGCTGTTCATGTGGGAACACGACTTTATGTAGTTTTGTTTCCCTTCGTATGTCGTATTGTGTTTGTATTTGGGCATATGTTATGGATCAACCAACGTCGTGTGCTATGGCAGAGGAAAAGAGTGGGCGAAGCTGCCTCGCTCTGAGAAGCAGCAGTTCTGAACAGCGTTGCGTTAAAACAAGCATGTGCTAAAACTTTCTCAGCAAATCCTGTATCTTCCTTGTCATTCTAATTTAAATCATATGTCAATCTAAAAGTTTCTAAATTTTGCTATATTTCTTGACATCATCTCGTATATTTTTAATATAAAAATTTCGATCGACAAATTTTTTATTTCATTTAACTTTGTTTTACTTTATATTTTTTATTTACTTAACTTTAATAACTTTTAATTATTTAATATTTAATTTAAATTTTAATAAATCCCAATACAAAAATTTGTAATTTAACGTCACTGTTTCATAGTCCAAAGTAATTAAAACGCATACGAACTGTTTGTCTTATCTGAAAATTTATAATTAAAAATTCCTGAATTACATGTTACATTCTCAATCGTAATTAAAAATTTAAACTGCATATCATTATGATCGAAAATGATTGAACATAAAGACTTTTAATTACTACCTTTGCCGATCAATTTTTTAACAAATTTAAAAATGCACGCTTGCCTTATGTTTAGTTTAAAAATAGCTAGAAATTTATAAAAGAAACGTAGCAGGAAACTATTCCAAACTTCGTTTGAAGTACCTTCTGCTATTTTCAATCTACGTTTTAACAGATCTAAAAATGTATATATACCTTATGTTTCATTTAGAAATAGTTGACAGTCTACAAAAGAAACGTAGAAAAGATCTGTTCGAAGCTGTGTTTGAAGTCCAATCTCTCTATTATTTCCCAATCATTGCAACTCTTTCGTCAAAGGACTTGCATAAAGCGACGAGTTATTCGTGTCATTCGTTCCATTCGAGACTGAAACTGACTTGGAACTTCTTGGTAACATGCTTGTTAGGTTGACGTCAGTCATGGTAGCCGATGACATATGTTTGACATACTGTAACAGATTTTCTTTTGAAACGACCGAAGACTGTGATAATAACGTGGCGGAACACAGATAAGAAAAAGGATGCGCCGACAGAAACTCAAAGCACTCCTGTGGATTCAGCGATGACATGAAAGTGTCCAACTGCAAGGTGCACCCGTTCTCTAAAGAATCTCGAGAAAACGTCACGGAACTGTAGGATTTTTACCATTTTTACACCAAACTTTCAGTGAAACAAAAATGAGAAAAGTTTCGCAAATTACCAGCTTGTCACCGCGATATTATTTTTTCCTACCACGTTTTCACCTTTCGAAACTTTCCAACGCCTAGGTATTTTTTACCGTATAAAATTATTACACTCGTCGCAATTTGCTCGGTGCACGGTAAAAATGTTAACTGAAGTTTTATCATAACAGAATACCATGTAATGAAAGGGTGTACAGAATCACAGTAATGAAACGAAAAAGCAGCTAGAAACTGAAATAACAAATTGCAAAGAAACAGAACGCGATGAAATTACACGGGTAAAGTAACAAAATTGCAAAGACCAACATGAAATTATAACAGTACAATTATTTATTTTTAATTTTTACACAGGCGCAGAATATGAGATTGGTAGAGCGCAACGAAATTTCATTAGGAACATTACGAAATCGAATAATTGGGCATTACTATGTTATTGTTACAATTTCGTTTCATGTGTGTGTATAAATTACGGCAATATAAAAAATTGCAAGAATAAAAATAAAAATTGTGACAATGAAATAAAAACATAAAAATGAGAAAGATCATTGGTAATTTGAAAAATATGTCGGAGTAAAATAGTCAAATCGCTGGATGATAAACATAATGTCGTCAGAAAAAATGACAAAGCGCGATAAGATGAAAGTAATAAAATAAAAGATTGCAGAAATTGCCATAGGAGTTACGATAATAAAATAGGAATTTGACAACAATGACTTCCCGTCATTTAAAAATTGCACAAAGTATCTCGATAAAATAATCGCGAATTACATAGTAAATAAATACGATGTCGTTAAAAAAAAACGTAATTGTAATATAATTACGCTAATAGAATGAAGAATAATATGAGAATTGCAATAATACTATAGAAATATAACGATGTTGTTAAAGACTATTGGTTAATTCAAGAAATACGTATTTTGGTAAAATAGTGGCGTAATTAAATGGCAAACGTAACTCGTTAGAAAGCGATCTAGAGGCTCGATAAATCATCGTTCCAAATATTAGGTGATATTGTGACGTTTCTGCGAGTACCTGGTAACTTGTCAAAGATCGTTACGAAAGAACGGGCTGTTCGAACGTGCCGTAAAAAGGATAATTAATGACGATAACGGTGAAGGGTGAAGATAAAACGGTCCGCTCGATAGGAAGTTCGTTCAAGGATGTAACGTTGCCCGTAGGAAGGTTGCACAGCACGCAGCGTAAATAACGAAGAGTTATGAATCGCAAAAGTCCGTGTTGCGATCGATTCCCAGTTAAGTAACTTTTAATTAAAACGCTTCTTTCCAGCATCCTTCCTGGTCCTTCCAACCAAAAATTTCCATTATCCTCAACTTCAATACAAACGAAAATTATGATCCGAAAAGCAGATTTAACTTAATGATAACGTCCAAACACAAATTTAATTTAGCTTCTCTAACTTCAAAGAGTCAGAAAACCAAGGGCTCGCGTCGAAAACTGGAAATCAAATTGATGGCGTCCCGGTTCTAAATATAGAAGAAGAGGAAATTCCGTTATTTCTTCTCGGTAATAGAACTTGGTGAATTAATTTGTTAAGTTTATATCTAGTTTCGTATTCGCTATCCCTGTTCTCGTTTCGATAAATAACAAGATTTTTAATATTCAAGCTTCAGCGTAAAATTGAACTTGCGAATTGAAGTTCGTCCAACTTATTGAATATTATAACAGGCGCAACATTTTAAATATTTTACATGTTTTCACTTTCTGATCGGTCTACTGATCGAGAATATACAAAAGAAAATATATTGTTCCTTTCAATATTACACACAATAGGATATATCTTCACTAAGGTTAAACGTCTCAATATAACTCGGAGGAAAAGGCGCCGTCGACGCATATATTCAACAGGAAGGAATTATATCTGATATAAATACTCTGTTCCTTCAAAGCGTCTTTTTATACATCGAGTTTCCCCTGCGTTAAATTATACGTTGAAAGAAAGGAAAGAAGGGAGGGAAAAAAAAGGGTTGATCGTGAAAAGCGACCGCCCCGACCTTCACCCTGGGAGCGCAACACGTGTAGCGAAAGGTATGTTAATAATAAATAACGTATCGACTTACCGGTATGATCAGTGTGTCGTTGATGATTCCTGACGTATGGAGGAGCTGGATGCCTGGTCTGCATGTTCCAGTAAGAGTTTCGACTGTTCCCAAAATTATTGACTCGCGGCTGTTGCGAAGGCGAAGTCTGCTTGCAAGGTAATCTGGCCATGGCAGTCATCATTTTCTTCTACACCCACACTCGCGATCGAATTAATCACTTCATCGGTGCTCTGCTTTGTTGCGTCGTCGTTTCAACCCCATTTTCGAGTGACCGTTTGCTCGCTGAAAAAATTAACAGATTAATTATCAAAAATTGGCACAAGCTCGAGTGGATTCACGCCCTTTCAATTTCGTAACCTTAAACGTCTCGTTTTATTTAATCTTCGTCACCGATTGTACGAAAAAGAGCGACTTTATTACGATACAACCAGATTATTACGTAATTACTGTCAATGATAGTGTGAAGGTATCGGTGTATTCATATGTTGGTAGATTTATATTGAAAAATTGTTATATGAATCCCTATTCAACAAGAAACAATTTATTTTTGTATAATAAATATCGTTTTTCGACGAGATTTCAAAGTCATAAAATATTCAACGATTGTTTCTATTATTTTGCTCACACAACTTTGGTCCATTTATTTTCTTCATTGATTTGATCTTCTTAAAGTAATCATATTCTATTTCTGTAAACATGCATTTTTCTTATGATGTGAACTGGATGAAATTATCATGAAACAACAAGAATATCAGATTTTTAGTGATCTACAATCAATGAGCTTATAAGATCACAAAAGAAGAAATATAGGTATCGATCCAATCTTCATTTTAAAACGAGAAAATAATCCTGAGTAATATTTTATGTATTTTTGCATATTACATACGACATCTTGGCATCTTTAAATTTTCCACAAACGCAGAAACATCTGTAGTCCATTAATCATATGCTGAGATAACAAAATAGGGGAGTTTACAAAAGGTGAAGTTGATTAGTTTTGCTTGCAACATATGAATTTGTGATATCAACAATTTATGAACCAATGTAATATCGTGGTATGTGGTGGCGACTGGATAATATTCGAGACGAAATCGTGCGAACCGTGTCGCGATCGTAGCACAATTCAAACAGCGGTTGTAAATCAAATTCAATACCAAGTGAAAGCATGTCGAAGCATCTCCTTAACAGATTACTCAGCTGTGTAACCGTTCTGTTCTAGGAAAATATGACACACGTGGTGAAAGCGATCGGACGGCCGTTCCAAAAGTAAAGCAAAACTAAAATTAGATATCCATAGGAAATAAAATGGTAGGCAGGTTCACTATTTTCCAAAAGCTCTTAGTTCGTGCTTTTCACCATGGATGTAGATAAGACTGTTCTAACGACGTTTTGATAAATCGTTTGACGATACGTTGTGCAAGATAATTGAAGTGGATGTGATAAATCGTAGCGATTTGACGCATGAAAATAGAAAAAATCGATTAAATAAAATTTTAAATTGTATGGGTAGAATAATTCCTTTCATAAACATGAAAAGATAGATACGATTATTATTTTGTCGTTTGTGAAATCGTGACATTTGGTTACTTTAACTGACACTTTCTATCGCGTTTCAAAGTAAAACGAATTAATAGAGGATTAAGGACTGCTATGTCAATAGTGTTCTTTTCTGTAAATATAGAAGGGATAATTAAATATCGATTTTGTCTTTTTTTCTTTAATCTGATTACATTTTTGTGGTAACTAACGTATACACGTTATGACCTTACCTTAAGGACATTCAGATAAAGATATCGAAAAGTAAATACATGGTTTATAGGATGTCGAAAGCAGGAAAATCTGTTGATCAGATCGTTAAAATGGGATGTGAAGACGAAACATTAGGTTGTCAGGCGATTAGTCTATCCATCAAATAATCTAAGCCACTGATAAATAAATGATAAAGATTCTAAAATACCTACAATGTACGTTAAATTAGGTTTTTTTTAAAAAAACAAAGATCGAGTAGCTTTTTATCAATATGTAATCTAAGGCTTATTCCTTTAGAAACAAGAAAATGAAATTTTATAGCTCGCAATAAAACATTGACATTTTGTATAGAATAAAACAAATACTATCGATAGTAAATACTTCAATATATTTCTGAAGCTTTCTTAGTAACCCATAGCAAACAATCTCATCTTTTTTCAATTTATCCCATAAAATTAAGGAGTTTCGCAATTACTATTTAAAAATACTGTAGTTTAACAGTAATCATCGATAATCCACTAATGTTACTTACTACTTATAGTTCACTGACTTTGCTCGTTAATAACAACTTTGTTCCAATAAGTGGATTCAATCAACAGGAGTCCACTTAATGAGACGCTAATTCATTCCAATAAGTGGATTCGCATAAATGGAGTGTCACCGTTATTCGAACTCATGAAAAGCAGAAAATATTAGAATATTCGTTATTGCCAGGTGAGTATGTACCGCGGACCATAAGTGGCACTCCAAAATCTCAATTCGTCACATCTTGAAAACGCAACAGCATCAGACAGGCGAAAGAAACTGACAATTTGTTTTATCGCCGCCAATTTTTCCATGCCAGTTTGCGACACACACCGTTACAACTGTCTGACTCACGAGTCATTTATTTTCTTTGAGATCCTCGGCTACGCGCAAAAATTCCATCGCAATGATCATTACCGATCGCACTGAAAATTCCCTCTCATCGCCTTGCCATCGGTTTTGTACGGAAAGACTCCTGGAAGCGACGATTTCTCGGTAGCGGCATGCAATCTCGTAAATGACACGGACGAATAAAGTCATAAGGGACTCGCGAGCATGGAATCAAAGTCGAATGACTCGAACGATGGCCAGCGCGAGCTCGTTTATCATCCAACGAGAAATATTATCATTCCATAGTAAAGCGTGTTATTTCGACGACGGTAATGACAATCGATATAAAAGCAACGGATGTGCAATTTAGAATAAAAACCGTAAAAAAATAGCAATTAGCTTGAAGTAAACTAGTAAAAAGATAATTGAAAAGTGAAGGGATAAAGTAAGAAATTTCACAAAATAGCTTTAATGGAAAAAATTAAATTTCGATACTTTGGTCTGTCTCAAAAGAAAACAAAATTCGATTCAACTGTATTGTTAATAATACGAAACCTATATGTACCTTGATTAAACGTCATAAAACAGAATGATTAATAAAATATCAATTATTTTACATTTAATTATATCCGTGTTTTGTGTGATATTTCCTGCTTCTCACCGGTACACCAAATCTTTAGCGTTATCTTATGGAGATATTTGAGATATTATTATCACTATGATTTGATAGTTCTGCAGTCCCTGTTCTCACAAACAAAATGTCTTATGAAATGGAAAAGCACGAAAAACGAACATTGCTTGCTTTCTCTTCTTCAAAGTACAAGATCCATTCTATCCTAGTTTTTAAAACGAAGTAAATAAATTACGATTTGAAGAAAATTCCAACAACAAAAAATTAGAAAATTAGAAGTAATTAAAAGGAAACTCTATATGCTATCAAACATTCAGCCACCATAGATAAACTGAATAGTCCATAGCAAAGCTTAGCTATTAACGATTCAGTTTACCTACGTTAATAATTAAAATCCGTTACTATATTCATTCACAAACGTTTGATAACGATCACACTAAATATACAGGTTTGTTATTATAATGGATAATTGTTGTTATTTCTATACTCAGAGGTAGGATCAGAATAGTTATTATTTTATTGAATGGATAAATCTATCACACCGTTGTGAGCCAAAAAAACCTTTATTGCACGCGTTTACAAAAGCTAGGGATAAAAATAAAAAAGCATCTTAAGCCTATCGATTAAATCTATCGATTGTAAATAGGATTATCTTCTAGTTATTATTTCTTATAACTAACGCATCTGCATATGGGTGGCGAGCACGAACTCACGTTGTCATTTTCAACAATAATTAACTGTTTCATTAACCTTGTAATTTCTGAATATTATTATTTATATCGAATGTCTCATAATTCTTATTGTTTCGAACTTTACCAACATAATCATGATAGCGTCTCATAACAATGGCAATGACAACCTAATTCCATTTGTTTCCTAAATTCCATTTTTGTTTGAATTATCCTCATGAAAATATCAACTTGCATAAATAAAGGTTTAATAAAGAAATTCCGGAACGTTTCTGTGTATGTCTATATAACATTTTCTTCGAATTTATAGCCAGATAATTCAACAGAATCTAGCTGATAAATAAATACTGAAATACCCTGTACATCGTTTCCTGTATGTTTATCTCTTTTTTCTAAAAAAGAATGCAGTTTACCAGTAAGCCCCTCGCTCGTTGGTAAAATCAAAGTCAAGCAAGTCATCGTGAACCGATAGCGTCAGCTTGGCCGCCTATCTGGCTAGGAGGAACAAGTTATCAATTCGTTGGAAACTCTGTTGTTTCGTGGAATGGCACCAGAGCCACAGATCGAACCGAGTTTACGCCTGCCAAGTAAGTAAGTCTGTCTTTACGGCTTTGCACACTGACAGAGGCCACGGGAAAGAGACATGCAGTCTAGGATAAAGGCTGGAAGATAAACAGCGACCGATGAATCACCCTCGCGACCCGGTCGTTCTACAAAATTGCGTATCGACGAGAGAAGAAGGGGGTACCACATTGTTTAACTGGCGAATATTATCGTACGCTGAGAAATGCCCGGAGGAATATAAATGAGATCGCCTCTGGCACGTCGAACCACCAGTACCAACAACATCTGTTCGTAACAGCGTGTGCTCGCTCGAAAACCGATTTCTCAAACATTAGCGACGCGTTATCTGTCAGCTGTTCTAGGCGAAATGTCCAGGTAGACATTATCTGATAGAGGAAGTACGTGGAGTGACAGTGGAATTGTCTTCGATAAAGTTTCCATCTGATAACACTTTTACACCAAACCTTTTCTGCCGTCGTCAGGAATTTCAAGACTTCGTTGCATTCAGGATATTTTTATTTGAAATGAAAGTAATTACTTCCAGATATAACTAGACTGTGGTTTTTATACACATGATTAGAAAAGGTACATAAAATGTACAAGGAACGGTACCTATTTTCTAGAATATTTAATATAAACTGTTCAAGGAGATAGAGGATTGAAAAGTGTATTATAGTAATTGTGCAAAGTGATGATTTGGTATATCCTTTATTTTTCCACATCTGTGGACTGTACTATTGTACGTATACTGTAGTATGTAGTGTACTGTAGTCTGTACTATTATATGTATTAGC